TACGTACATTAAAAAGAAATAACACTCTGACACCCCGTCTAACAGTTGTAGTTCGCAAGAATTACACGTTAACACTACTTAAAACCTGTTTATTCTTAAAGAAGTCATCAATATCATTAGGGTGTTCAGGATAGCATGGTCACATTATTTTTGCACTTTTTGTAAAAATGGTTAGCGCTCATCTCGTATTGAGAAAATTATATTCTTCAAGGAAACATATTGTGGTGCCGGTTTTGCAATATAAAAATTGACCATGAAGTAAAATCTGTTGTAGATAAACATCTTCAAACTCTCAAACATGAAAATAATAAAAAAAATACAAATAACTCTAATTATTTAATTCAAAAAACTATAACTTCATTAGTTAGAAATATTTTAAATGAAAGAGAAATAATAAATGTTGAAGTTGTTAAGGCTTTTACTTTTGCGAATATTCCTTTAGAAAAAATTAATGATAATTTTTAGGGGAATTAATTACTGGTGCAAAATTAAAAAATAGTATCATTGATAAGATTATTTGTATAACTGTTGATGAAACAACAAATTGTGGTCGACATGCAATTAATAGTTTTGCTAATCAAACTAAATTAGTTAGGACTGAATTTTTATCTAATGTAAATTCTTCATCTATTTCCAATTTGTATGAAAATGTTATTTTTTTTATATCTGATAATGTTTTGTTATATGAAATTAGCTTATTCACACTTAACACCTTTTTTGCCAAAAAATGAAGCATAATTGCTGTTTAGCACATATTAATTTGTTAGTCAAAAATTTTAAAGCAATATTTGTTTATAACTCAAAAAGGAAAATTTGTTGGAAAGAGTATTTATTGCGAAACAATATTAAAGATTCTACTTTAGCACCATTACCAATAAAAACATGGTAGAATTCGTGGTTTTCATTTTTGTGTTAGATTAAACCTTTATATCCTCACTTAATTACATTTATTAATGCGAAATATTCTATCAATCATGATTCAAAAACTATTTAGGATCTTTATTCTTTTTGTCAAAACCAAACAATATTTTATGTGTTAGAATTTTTATATATTTTATCATATATAATTGCATCCAGTAAGAAAAATTTTAATCAATTTATTAAATATATAAATTTATTAAATAATACTAATTGTTAATTAAATTTTATTTAGATTGATTAATGACTTAGAATTCTTTAAAATATGAAATAAAGCAATAACTCCATTTGTTTATTCGTGAATAGTAAACCTTTAAACTTTTCTTTTATTAGGAAAAAAATCCTCCAATTTCAGATAAAATAGAATGAATTTTGGAAAGAACAAATTATAATAAGGATCTATTTGTTTCATTATTTTCTAAAGCTTTTATATCAGCTTATGAAAAGTGCAAAAAACACACCTTATTATCCGGCTTTATTATTGTTCAAAACAATACAATGATTTAATTCAAGATTTATTCAATCTAACATAATTAATCATAATATGATAGATTATAGGATTATTAAAGAATTTTATTTTCCTACTTTCCTACTGACAATTTAATACAAGGATAGGCTATTTATTGTGGGTTTAATAAAGTAGCTGAGAAATTAATAGTCTAGATATATATTGGCAAAACAAAACATATTTATTACAGAACTTAGTGCATTAGCTTTAGTATATATTTGGTTACCAGTATCTGAAGTGGATGTTGAACATAGCTTTTTTAATTATAAAAACATCTTATTAGATAAAAGGATTACACTTAAAAAAGAAAGCATTTAGATACTTAATTTTTTTACTTTAATTTGGGTGGTAACATTAATTATGATTTATTAATTACAGATTAATGAAAATTAAATGTATTATTTCAATAAATATAAATTTTTTTGCATAGTATATATAATAAATGTTGATTTTGGCTGAAATTATGTTAATTATGATTGGCATTAAGATTGCATCAAATTACATTTTTAACTAAATTACATCACATTTTATAGGTCATCACATCATGAAATCCTGAATATCTTAAACATCGCATATAAATTTGGAAAACTTTCCTATTACTCAGTTCAGTCATGATTAAAAACATTGTTACCTACTATTATATGAAACTTATTTAAAGGTATGATATTTCAAATCAGGAGATAAAAGTCTCTAGCTCAAAATATAGTTATAAAACGCGAATAGCAGGCAAATTACTTATAAAGCAAATATTAGAGTTAATTTTTTGAAAAGAGAGCATAATAAACATTTTGTATAATTGGTCAATTTGTATATTGATCATATCCTAATTATTACTATTTTGATTAGCTCAATTTTATTATTAATAATATTAATATCGCTTCTGGAGTGAAGCGAAGAACAATTAACTGTATGATTATACATAATTTTGTGTTATCTCCTATATTTTCCTTCCTTCTATCTACCTACATCACCTTATATTTCTATTTGAGCCTTTTCTTTTTTACTTTTTGTATCATCTGATCATATCATATTTAAATATTACGTAAATTTATTTTATTATTATCTCAGAATTTATAGCTTTAGATCAAGGATAATGATTTGTTGTGGTTAAGGTTGCTTATCTAAACTCATTTTGGATTTGGCAAAATGGTAAAACCTTTAGTTTTGCTAAATTTTTACTAAGT